TCTCGCATCACAGGACAACTCTCCCGTTACCATAAGCTGTTGTCCGCCATACTGCGGGATATGCCGAGCAAGTTCAGGGATATACATATATGAATATTCCCGCACACAACCCATACGGCGTGCTCAAAACGGCACTCCTCCGTCGTATGGCCATTTCTGAGGAGAAGCGCATACAGCTTCTACCATTTGGGATACAGCTGGTAAACCTCAAGCCATCCCAGTTATTGCGTCAGGTGCGTACGTTGGTAGGTAAAACAACGTTAGACGACTCTATACTACGCCAGGTCCGGCTCTAGCGGCTCCCACCTTACGTAAAGAGTATACTTAACGTCTTCGTACACGCCCACAGGCTCGTCGAGCTAGCCGAAGCCGGATACCAAGCCATAGAGCAAGCTCAAACGTTTCATCTCACAATGGCAAATATTTGGAGACCTAAACCAACCAGACGCTTCCGAACTCTGCTCCCGTTAAGCTCTACAACGATCCTGTAGCCGTTATTCAACCAAAAAATTTGCAACCGCGGTTTGCTTTTCTCATCTCTTGTTTTTCTCTTAGTTTCCTGATAGATCCATTCAAGCTGGGCGTTATCATCAAATCACGGATGAACAGCACCTTTACCCCACGTTGGTGACTAGCATCAGAACAGGTTCAGTTTCTAACCAATCCTGTATAATTGAGGACTATCAGGACATGGTTACTTATCAGAATTATCAAGGTTCAGATATCAGGTAGTGATTTAGCCCATCGATCAGGTAGATTAATTACAAAAGCTAGACTACCGTTATTCTTTTCCTCCTACCATAAAGACCCTTCTTCTCTACCGGGCTTAATCAAGCGTACCGTCGAGATTTAGCACATATCAACATTGTTTAGCGATATCAATCTTCTAGAGAACGTTTCTTCACTAGACATAGCAACTTGGACACTTCCAGAATTAAGTTTTGCTGTAACCATTATCGTGCTTTTAATGAGCTCGAAAAGACCGCACAGACACAATTCCCCACGGTGAGCTCTGTATCGCACGCTTTCCTTACATTGATCAGATATACTTTCAGGTTTCCGCTGCAGTTGTTTTAATAACAGCCTAGACTTAGCCAAACTTACTTCCAACATTTCGGAAGTTTCAGAATACATCATTTCTGCAATCCCAAACCTTGGTTCTGTTTCTTCTTGAGACGGATATGCAGGACGAACGTAAGCAAACATTGGCCACAGGTTTTGATGAAAATCAGCAACCGCCTAGTCACTAAAAAGACAATAGAGATATGAAACTCATTAACGGATAATACTAACAAAAATGATGACAAAATTAAAAATTAACCGGGATAACTGTATTCAATGTGTGCCTGGAAAGTTAAAATGTCATCGGGAAATATCTCGAATGAAATATTAAACCGTAATGTCTATTGGACCTTATGAAAATTGTCGCAAAATATTTCACCTAAGGAACCCTTAACTTGGAAGTAGTCCTCACTCCTGCGGATAATCAACACATGCCAAACACTCGATCTGCTACAGAAAATTGTCCAGGTTGGAGCGGACTGTTACCATGAGCAGGTCACAAAATAAAACAAAACGACCAAGTAGCCATGAAAGCTTAGTCAGATTTATTAAGTAAGAAAAAAAAACATAATATATAAAACGTCGCAGGTAAGCGAATGTGGCCTTTAGTGGTAAAAAGTAGTGGGGCATACATCCTTAAAGTCCACCAATTAAACTACGATGATAGTATTGATGGGTACACTCGTAGTGTCTTACTTTTCTATCCACTTTTATCTGACCTGATTGTACAGCTTGTTTTAATATGCGCAGCACCTAACACACGATACAAAATTCTGTTCTTAAATACGCACGTGTTCTCCGAGTGTTTCTGAGGAATAAAGCAAGAATTATCAGTTATCGTCAAGCGGTCCGTTAACTGTCTCAGTCATCCATTTCAGCTCCTCTACACCTCATCGACCGGAACCACACATCAAAAGAACAGGATCAATCGACCAGCGGACAATCTTTCTGTGAGTCCGTTCATTGTACCTTTCATTTCATTATTATTCGTATATGTAGTATCTTTTCCACTACACACTCATCAAGGCCACACCCAATTGGAGAGGGTTAACTATGAATTTCAAAGGACCGTTACTATCACATACACGTAATGAATATTTACTTACAAAACGGACGAATATTGTCAGTTTCCTTTCGCATTTCCATGTATCGATATGACCAATAATATTGCTGTTCATCAAACCTATATCAAATAATATCCCTTTTGACAAAGCACAACCAATATGCAGATGATATCGTTTCACCTCATATTGCAAACTATCCTCAGTCCGCAGATAGCGAACAACCTTCACTTTCAGAACCACAACAAGGAACTCGCCTTTATAATCTAGGAAGCCAAGAGGCCCGCAACATTTTCTATACCGGTGGAGAATGTCGTGTATCACACTGTTTATTTCATATCGCTGTATTCAAACACTTCTCTTTGATACTTTTCGAAAAGTATCATATAGGCATATAGGCCGATTGGTCTATATGCCAGATTTGTTAGAAGAATCAAGCCTTACATCTTCTCTTTTGAGCAACTACCAGCTGTTGACACCATCTCGTATTCAGAATATAACAATGGGTTCACCTTCTTCCCTTTCCCTCAAAATGGGTCCAATACTATTGCACCTTAAACACTACCACTACCCTTGTATGCACTACGAGTTTGGCAGTGATCATTGAGCTCTGATTCACTGTATTTCGCTGTACGACGATGATCATCAGCGGAGAATTATGAGCGACCCATACTTCGGTTTCGTCTCACTTGTTGAGCAGCCCCTCAACTTTACAAACAGAAAAGGTTGACACATGCTCTCCTTCCTAGTGGTTACTCCAGCTGTTAGCTAAGGGACGGGAATGCGCCTAACTCCGGCTACAGTGCATTCCATCGTACCCTTAGTTTCTCTTACAACCCGAAAATTGCCAGGTTTACCCCGTCTGGCGTGAAGTCGTAACAACGCGACCTTGAAGTGGCTTCAGACTGGTAGTGTAACATGCTTCAGATTATCATCATCTTTCGTCTGCCTGTTCTGCATAGTTGCAGGCAGTTGTCGCCTGGGCCATTCGCTCGTGCACTCTCCTTTTTCGTCACTGATTCCACCAGGATCGCCAACCTCCTGTTTCATCTTGAGCAGCAACATGGTATCACCGGTAATGCGGCTAAGTGCGAATTAGGTCGTGGGTCCTTAGTTTTTCTAGGTTACTACATTGATCGTCTAGGATTCCGTCCGGTCGACGACAAAATCGCAGCATTTCGCTATTTTACCCCACCTACAACAGCGATCGAACTCCGTCGTAGATTCATCTTACAATGCGCCCAGGTAGTTCGTTCACTTACGGACCTGCTCAGGGGAAACCCCAGAATGATCGACTGAAATACATCAGCACAACATGCTTTCTGTGCTATTAAATTAGCAGTCTTCAATACTGTTTTAATGGCACTTCAAGATCCTGGGGAAAAGCTAAGTTTAGCAGTAGACGCGTCGGACATCGCGGCCGGTGCAGTCCTCCAACATTGGAAAGACAGTGCCTGGCAAACTTTAGTTTTCTACTCATAGCGTTTTTCGGACGCAGCCACAAAGTACAGCATCTTCGATCGCGAACTATTAGCCGCGTACCTGGCTGTTCGTCATTTTCGTCATTCACTAGAAGTTCGTGATTTCATCATCTTTACTGACCATAAACCACTCACTACGCTCACAAGTTCCCTAGTGACAGATACTCTCCTCGAGAGATACGTCACTTGAACTACATGTCGCATTTCACTACTGACATTCTACACGTTACGGGTGTAGATAATGTCGTTGCCGATGCCCTCTCGCGCACAGCGGTAGTTTCTGATAACGTGATCAATTTGATACGTGTGGCAAAACTGCAAGATTACGACCCGGACTTGCGAAACGCATTGGAATCCTCTTTAAATCTTCAGCGTTTGCCACTAGCCACTTCCGAGGGCACGATCTGGTGTGACTTTTCACGCACCTCACCTCGTAATTAGATACCCGTACAGATGCGCAGAGTAGTTTTCGACACCCTGCATAACCTGTCTCACCCGGGTATTTGGGCTAGTTCGGCATTAGTCAGCCAACGTTTTGTTTGGCAATCTATGCATAAAGATGTGCGTAGTTCAGTTCAGTTCAGTTATCACAGGACGATTTTTGGCTATTGCCAATCGCGCGTCCAGTTCCTTGTGTTGTCAGCGGTTTCGTTGGTTTCCAACACTTCGAGTTGGGCAAGTTGCTGTTTGGCAGGCCAGAAATCTAAGGTAACCAGACTAGTCCTCTTCGTACTTTTGGCACTCCCGATGCCAGGTTCGTTCACGTACACTTAGATATGGTGGGACCGTTACATCATCACAAGGTTTTACTTATATTCTGACCTGCGTAGATCGTTTCACGCGTTGGCCAGAAGCAGTTTCAATCACCGATATCTCGAGTGAAACCATAATTAAGGCGTTCGTTGAGCGTTGGGTAGCAAATTCGACCACAAACCGTGGCTCTCAATTTGAGTCCGCATTATTCAACTCATGAACAGCCATGTTAGTTTGTCAACGTATATGCATCATAGCATATCACCCGGCCCGTAACTGCTTTTTTGGGCGCTTCCATCGATAGCTTAAAGCTGCACTTAGTGCACATTCCGTCATTTCATGGACGGAGACACTCCCGCTCGTCCTACTTGGCATAATAAATGCCATCAAAGACAATCTCAAGTGCACACCGGTCGAACTAGTATATGGGACTACACTCCGTCTTCCCGGAGAGCATAGTACCCCACAGAAAGCTTCAAGTCAAGCGTCACCGGATTAAGTCCAACGGCTCACTCATCCCAAGCCTGAGTTACACTCAGCCGTCACACACCCACAGCAAAAACAAGTCTTCATACATCCAGACTTAAAGACTTGCACACACGTTTGGGTCCGTTGCGACGCAGTATGCAGACCCCTGCATGCTCTATATAATGGCCCTCACCTCATATTTCGACGTAGCGAGGAACAGATAGTCATCGATAGCAACGATCACTGCGATACTACCTCCGTCGACCGCACGAAGCCAGCCCACGTGGACATTCGTCGCGGCAACCCATGCCAACCCGAGGGCCACGGACACCACCACATCGATAGCCTCCACCCCATTGTCGACCACGCTAAATTCGACCATTCCTCTCACCCCGGCCACATTACCCTCTAATTCAGGAATGTCTCCACTGCGTTCTGCTTTAGCTGGTTCAAACCACAGAAAGACTCGCACTGACCAATTGGTTCGTATTCCAACTCGTTTTGTGGAATGCTTTTATTACTAAGGCAATTTTACACAAAAAATAAAACCGCCTCAGTATATTGTTTACATATATACCTGTTTATTGATTATTTGTTCATTTGTTTTGAGCTACTGTAACCACACTAAGTTTCTTTTGTTTTGCTTGCACTGTGGAGCTGTGGAACGTTTTTATTCGTATCATGAAAAGCGCAAGGATTGCAAGGCTTTTTTAAATTGGTGTTTGTCGATTGGCAATCTTTTACCGCTTTGTTTATCTTGCACCTTGCATTCTACAGAGCTAATTTTACTATAACCATTAGCCTAGATGGCTCAGGGCGGTTTTGACTTTGCTCCTTATCTCCATCTTTATCTTCGTGCTGAGAACGCAGAGGGTCCGCACCCCGTTGATCCTGGTGGGCTCGCGGGAATGCTGATGCTGGGTCAACTGGTTCGCCACTTCGAAGAAGTGTCTGTAGAATTGGTCCGCTCCCGGTAGGCAAAGGTTTTCGTCCCAGTCCATTAGGGGCACATTGAAATCACCCAAAATCAAACAGTGGCCGTCGCCAGTCCATCGCCGCATATCGTCCAGGATGGCCACCGGGGCTGTCGCTGGTGGTCTTTAGTAGACTCCTATCGTCGTGTAGTTGTTGCAGCACAGTTTGGTTTTGCACCACAGCGCTTCTCCATGACCGTCAGGATCCGCGTAGCTGTAGAGATGAGTAAACGGTACACTTTCGTGAATAAACAGCATTAAGCCCCCACCCATCCTTGGTTGTGCACGGTCCGAACGGAGTGACGCATACCCTGGGAGCGAAACCTCAGAGTCAAGAACGTCGGGGGTGAACCAGGTTTCGGTGAGGGCGATGACCACCGGGAAGTGCTCCACGACAAACGCCTCCAACTCATCTCGTTTGTTCAAAACACTACGTACATTGGCAGACACTATGCACGTGCGGCTGCGCCTGTCGATGATAGCCGAAATAAGTTTTGAGCAACACAGGTCTCCAGTTGGGAATTTTTCATGGCTTGGATAACGGAGATCGATCAAATGACTTTTAATTTTTTGAATCAAACCGCGTTAGGATGGTGCGCGCTTACCTGTTGTAAGGGTTTACGTACCGCATCAATTCGAATGAATACGTGCGAACAGGTTAGAAGAGGGGGTCGGCTCCCTTGGTGGGCAAAGAAAGGTAATCAGGGCAGAAGCCATAAAGCGAAAAGCTTGGACCCGCCTCAGGAGCAGGGGTAGCCACCAGCAGCACTTGCGTTATCGGGCGGCGAGAGAAAGGGCACTTAAGATACAAGGACACTGCCAGAGGGAGTACGCGAGTAGGATTGCTCGCAATGCCATCCAGCGACCAAAAGCCTACCACAACTACGTGCAGTCTAAGACCCCCTCGCGTGTAGCCGTTGGAAATGTAGTGAATGCAGATGGTGTTAGTGCGACCACAAGTAGGGAAAAGGCTGAAGTTCTTAAGAGCTTCTTCGAGAAAGTTAACATGAAGGATTTGGGAAGGCGGTTACCAGACTTCCTAGATAGGATCCCCGACCAACACATGGCTCCATTTGGTTTAGAGGCGAGGGAGTTAGAAGCACCGCTGAAACAGCTGGATCAGAACAAGGCCGCGGGTCCAGATGGGCTGCACCCAGCAATCCTGCGGCCTATTGCTGACATAATTGTCGGCGCACTGGCTCAGCTTTTTAACGGCTCGCTTGNCCGGCCGACTGGACCACTGCAGAAGTGGTGCCAATCCACAAAAGGGGGTCAGAGGGGGCTGCATGGAACTACCGTCCAGTAAGCCTGCTCTCGGTAGTCCTAAAAACCTTCGAGCGTCTTCTCTGGGGAAGGCTGGTGGGATATTTGGACGACCAGAACCTCATGGCTGACAAATAGCACAGCGTATCAACAGAAAGTCGTGCCTCACTAACCTACTATCTTTTCTGGAAGAGGTAATAGAAAGGTTGGCTGCAGGGAACCGAGTCGAACTTTGCTACCTTGATTCCACGAAAGCCTTTGACTCGGTCAACCACAGGTTCCTCCTGCGTAAGCTGGAAGCCCTACGAGTAGACCAACAATTGGTGAGGTGGATACAAGCGTACCTACACGAGAGGACGTTCCGGGTAAAGATGGAACAGGAAACGTCGGAGACGGCAGCAGTCTGTAGTGGGGTACCCCAGGGCTCAGTCCTTGGGGCCAATACTATTTGTGCTGTATGTCAGTGACGTCACCGAGGTATTCCGGTGTCCCGGTTCTTTTTCGCGGACGACCTAAAAGTAGTGGGAAACCCGGCATTGGGGGACTTACAGGATGCCCTAAATGGAATTCATGGCTGGGCGGACACCTGGGAGCTACCACTCAATGCCAGCAAATGTAGGCACCTGCTGATGAACAGAGGGGCCACGGAGGTAGTTGATCTAGGCGCTGGGTCGGAGGAGGCCTTAGAACCCACCAATGCAATCAGAGACCTAGGCGTGCAGATTCACTCGTCCTTTAAATCCTCATCGCAATACCTGGCAGCTGCAGCGAAGGCCAATACTGCCGCACAGTAATATCCAGGGAGGCT